CGGCGGGACACCGCGGGCCACCGGCCGCCCGGAAGGGAGTCATTTGGTCCGGCCGCGCCTCAGCCACACGGGACACCAGCGGGACACCGGCGGGACACCGCGGGCCACCGGCCGCCCGGAAGGGAGTCATTTGGTCCGGCCGCGCCTCAGCCACAGGAGACTTTCTCTCGCCCGCCCACGCAGCTTCGCCTCGCCCGCACGGCACGCACGAACACGAAACCGAAATCGATTTCCCGGTAGGGGGGCTGTCCGTTCCACTTCGATCTCACCCCCTCACCTCCGATATGTATAACGGCTCTCGCTGTCGATTCGTCGATTTTTTTGGCCGCGGAAGCCCCCCCCACTATGGGGCGTCGCCACGCCAGGCTATGTCATGCTATGCGTTGATCTTCGACACCATGCTATGCCATGTGATGCCATGCCATGCTGCGACGTCCGACCGTGCGAATCTATAGAGGAGATCTGCGCCATGGTAAGGCATGGGAGGGAGGGGTAATTAGGACGTCAGATGTGACGCGAGCGCACCTGGCTGGTCCTCCCCCCTCCGCCCCGCGCCCAGGCCCCCCACCCTCTCGCCATGCCCCGGGTCGCACCTGGGCCCCCCGCCGCGCCCCGATCGCTCCGCCCCCGCCCCCGCTCCGCCTGCTCCGCCCCCCCTCCGCGCCCGCCCCCCGCGCGGCGGCGGGCAAAAAAGCCCGGCGGCGCAAGACCGGGCTGCGCGCGAGGGGAGCCAGGGACCAGCGCCGGCAGGATCGGCGGGGGCAGGTCGCAGCAGGAGGGGACCGCCCCCGTGGCAAGTACTCCAGATTTCGAAATAAAAGGGAGGGGGTCTGGACCCTCCAAGACAAGCCACTTCAGACCTCCCCCGTGGGAGAACCCTCCAAAACATCGTCACCAGACCCCCCAGGCCCTCCAAGTTAGCCTGGAAGAGACCCCCGCCCGAAATGAGACCCCCCTCCCTTTATTACGATATCTGGAGTATCTTTAAGCAGGAGCGTGCAGGACATCTGCATTCTGCAGATGATGCAGAAAAAGCAGTGAAGCAAGACCCGCGCGCTGCCTGGCCGGCTGCGTGATGATACATGGGCCCACCTCTCAAAAAAACTGGGGGGCATTTGTTCGGCGACGAAGCCAAGAGGGAACTGACAGGGAACAAGTCTTCCCAGAGGGCGGCGGGAGTTCTCAGAAACCCTCTGGCCTTCTGGTCTTCTGAAAAGCAATCCCTGTTATCGGAGAAGGCTTAGACAACTTCTCAGACGGCCGGAGGCCTTCCGATCCTTCTGCGGAAGCACGCGACCCCTCTGACTTTCCCCTGGGCCCGCCGCCGATGTGCGCCCACAACCCCCAACGAAACTGCAGAGGCAGCGAGCAGCCAAACAGGACACCGGAAGCGGACAGAGCAGTGCGCTAGGTAGATGAGTCCGATGGGGAAAACTCCCACGCCCCTGATGGCATGATTCTTGGTGGCACCATATGCCAAGTTTACCGCGACGAATGCTAGCGCATCCAAGGAGTCAGCATAGTTTGCCTCGAATATATCATAATCGCTAAGCCCTAAACACGCAAGCGCCGCTTATTATTCCTCGCATCTCCTAGCAGTCTGAGAACAACATCAAACACAAACAACAACAACAACACTGGCACTATCCTGAAACATATCCGTAAAACGAAGAGACTGTCGTGGTGTTCTGAGCGACCCCGTCACAGTCTCGGGGGGTATCTTCTGCGCGAGCTAGTCGAAAGCCTCGATACCGACCCAGCACTAGACTCTCCTCGATTGGCTCGCGTCACCAGCGAAACTGACTTTGGCGTCGCGCATGATGAAATGTGCGAGTTTATGGTCTAAGCTCTCTCGGCCTTGCATCGAAGTGTGGCAGACAACAGAATTCGCCACTTCGAATGAATATCACAGTGTTTCAAACTCCCCACATGGCGAAATACTCATGCCTACGATATGAATAACAAAACTTTCAGATCAAATCGCTGATCGCAAACTATGCGAGGAATCCAATTACGCCGTCGAAGCAAATACCAGTGTGGATAATGACGAAAGCTACACCGTAAATAATCATGAACCAGAAAGCGTCAATCAGTACACTTCTCTTGTAGCGAAGGAACCTGGCGAGATTGTGCAAAAACCGTTCGTCATAGTCGCTGTCGAACGGAATGAAAATTATCATGCTCTGGGTCACGCAACTTCCCGTCTTATCAGTGCCTCTCCTCCTCAATTCTGGATCCGTCTGGTGGGTGCAGCACGCGTCGTAGAACATCATTTGCTGGTAGACACTTCTGGGCTTGAAGAATGCACGCACGACCGCGAATGTCGTGATCAGCGTCGCGAGCCCGACGGACAAGACAGGGCCGCACACAGGCATGCCCTCGGGATGCTCAGCGGGGTTGCCAGGGAAGGGCAAACTCAAGATGAGCATGCAGCCCCCCTCTGGAGTGAATAAGTTCACACTGAGCAACAGTAAGAAAGTCGCCAGAGCCGCGAAGTGGGCGGCGGGATGAAAGAAATGCCCGGTGAAGTGCTACAGCACTGCCACGTACTTGAGGACTCCGTCCGACGTCCACGCAGGCGACATGAACACCCTTCTGCGTCGGAGTCTTCATCTTTGGGAAGCTGCTCTGAAAGGCGTCAGGCTTATTCGGCGCTCCGGCTCAGTGCCGTTGCTCCTGACCCAGGATGTTCCTCCGAAGGCCCTGGGGTAAGATGTCTGGCCCTCGTCGATGGGTGGCCGTGTCAGAAAGACACATGTCAGCCGCAGTAGGTTTCCAATCGCTGATGCCACTGCCTGAATGTCCGTCTCGTAGATGATCTGAATATTTGTTTTCTTCAGTTGGCGCCTTGAGCGCGCCTGGTCCGACCTCCCCGAACTGGCGCACAGCTGGCATCGTGTCCGTGGGGGGCATGTCAGTCCCGAAGACGCGCGTCTCTCGTTGGTTGGGCAAAGCCATCCCCCCTAGCGGAGGCTGACCCCCCACTCGGCGCCCCATGCATTTCGCCAGCTGGGTCTTCGATGGGCGCGCTTTCATTCGGGCTGGGCGAAGCTGCGCTCTGGTTCGGCTCATCGATGTCGAAAATTCACAAAATCTGAGACCTCACTGGCTCCGTCCTGCGACGATGACGCTATGCGATAAGTCTCTACCTTCCGAGGCTCGTCTGAACTGAATCTCGACTCGCGAGGACACTCACAAACAGGGTTTACTCAATGTGCTTCCTATGGGCTCCTTTTTTTCATGCCAATGTTCCAGAGGATCCGCGTCCTCTGGGCACAGTCATGCTCTCATGTGGTAGCCTATGACGTTCGTGACCCTTGTCTCTGCCTTCGGCAAATCACCAATCTTTTGTCCGAGAATCCCTTGTCCCTGACGTCTGGGCATACACCTGACCCGTTCTACCGCCTCCAAGGTTGAGAGGCTGCGCCTTGCTCCTCGACTGGTCCCACGATGCATTCGTGGCAGCACTCCTCGCCATTGCTCCCGAGCGCCCGTCAAGCCAGGGCGGCCCGACCGAAGGAGGGCGCCGCGCGCGGCCGCGCGGCCGTCGGCCCTTTTTGCCAACGCTGCCGGCGGCCGGCCAGATCGGTAGCGGCCGCGGCAGCCAACGTGCGACGCGGGGCGGCAGCAGCAGCACACCATTGCGACAGCCGGGTCCGCCTCGAAGGAATGGAAATGGCTGCCGGGCCGCGCCGCCCGGGGCTCGTCTGGGCCTCCCCGCCCCCCCCCCCCCGTGTGGGACTCTCTCTCTTGGTGGTCCTCGGTGCCTCCACGAGAGGCCGCTTGCGAAGCACTGCGCGGACAGAGAGCGGAATGGCAGAGCAGGTCGGAGGTCCGCGCGGACCTCCGAGAACTTCTGCTCAGGCTGTGTGCCGTCTCGGCGGAGGAGGGAAAGGAACATTGGGAGGTCGAGGGGAAGACGGAGGAGGAGGAGGAAGAGGAGGAGGAGGAGGGCAGAGAAGGAGGCGGAGGGCAGAGGAGGAGGAGGAGGAGGAGGAGGAGGAGGAGGAGGAGGAGGAGGAGGAGGTCGAGGAGGAAGAGGAGAAGGAGGTCGAGGAGGAGGAGCGCCAGTGCACCTAGGTCGGGGAGGAGGAGGGCAGAGGAGGAAGGGGAGGAGGAGGAGGAGGAGGAGGAGGAGGAGGAGGAGGAGGAGGGGAGGAGGAGGAGGAGCAAGGAAGCGGAAAGGCGGCGGACCGGGTTGGGAGTCTGCGGGGCGCGGGGGGGCGGGGGATGGGGCGGCGCCCGGCCTCCGCGCGTCGGCGAGCAAGGGCGACAGGCAAGGGCTGCTGCCTCGGTGTGCAGGCGCGGCGGCCGCGCCGGCCGCCAGCCGCTGCCCGCCCGAGGTGCGCTCCTCCTCCCTCCCTCCTCCTCCTGCTCCTCCTCCTCCTCCTGCTCCTCCTCCTCCTCCTCCTCCTCCTCCTCCTCCTCCTCCTCCTCCCCCTCCTCCTGCCCCGCCGCTTCCCCGTGCGGTCGGGGCGTTGACTTCAGGAACCCTGGACAAGGAGCGAGGCATTCTGTTGCTCCCATCGTACTGAAGGGCCACAGCCCAGAAATGACGTCGAGCACCCGGAAAAGTGTCTCGAGAGAGAGTGTCGAAACAGTGTCGGAACAGTGTCGGGCGAGTGCCTCCCAGGGCCCCGACACTGAAAACTCTTGAGTTTTGGGTACCTTCTTGGTGCTCGAAATTATTTCTGGTGATCAAGGCTAAAGAAGGTTGGAACATCATAAAACGAGGCCCCTTTTCTTTCATGAGTTAAGCTTCGATTCCCCATCGAAAACCAAGAGGCAACACCGAAGGCAGGCTGCGAGACAGGCAGGGAACACGGAGCCCCTCCCCCCCGCAGTGGCTTCCCTCTTCAGCGCCCCGACTGGTACCCTTGGGCGCCCGAGCTATCCGGGATGACGGCGGTCCGGGGTGACTCCAGTGTGGGCCTCCGAGGCGCGAATATGTAGCCACCCCTGGTTCTGGTTGTCCCCCCAGCACTGATGATCCGGGAGGGTCGGACGCCCGAGTTATCCAGGATGGCTGCGGTCCGGGGTAAATTTTGGGCCCCCGAGGCGAGAATCTGTGGTTACCGCTGACATCAAGCCCGCGCCCTGATGACTCGGGGCTCTGGTGCACCTCTCCAGACTTCCTCGCGTCGTGGATACAGTCGGCCAGTATCAGAAGGGTGCGCGATAAGGATGCGAGGGACCCGGGGGCGCCCATGTCGAAGCTTGTCAAGCGGGGCGCGGCCAGCGAACGTGGCCAGGGATGGGCCGAAGGAACAGGGATGCAAGGGTACCCTTGGGAAGGTGTCTCATCCTGACTATGCGGGTTGACTGGAACATCGCGCCGGGAGGCTCTTCGCCATCATTCAGGGGGGCGTAAGACCCGGGTACAGGGGACTCGGAAATCCCCGACGAGGTCGTCAAAAAAATGACGAGGCCGAGCCTGCATTTTGACGAGGCCTCCCGCTGCAGACATCCCACGAAACTCCTACTCGTCAAAATCCGAGGCGCGGTCGTCAAAAAACGATGGCGAACCCGAGTCCTGGCAAACCGGGGTCTTACGCTCCCCCGAATCATCTGCCGCCCAGGCCCTCCCTGGGCCCTGGGGCCGGCAGCGCGCACCCGGGGCGGAGCGCTGGTCCCGCGGAGCTGGTCTGTAGAGACCACCTCAAGGGTTCCGCACGGCGGAGAATCTCGACCAGCGCGTTCCACCACTCGCAGAGTGACTCCTCGCAAATGGTCTGGACTCGCCATGGGGCATCTGCGGGGCATTTGCGATGCACGTGCTTCGGAGGAGGAGGAGGAGGAGGAGGGAGGAGGGAGGAGGGAGGAGGGAGGAGTGGAGCGCACTCGGTGAGAATCGCGGCGTCGGAGGTCTGGGTCCTCGCTTGCCGGCCCGCTTGCCGGGCTGCCGGCCGCCTGCCTGGTGCATCATCTCCCTGCCTGCTCGCCCGCGCACGCGATCGCTCGCCCGTCTGCTCTCCCACTGCGTGCTCGCTCATTCCTTCCAGCCTGTCTTTTGTGCTTGCGCGTGGGGATCCGCGCGAGCCTGGCGAGGTGGCGCTGGCCAGCGCGTAGGCAAGGCTTGCCTGGCGCTCGGCGACTCCCCGTCCTTCTTTGCGAGCCCTGTGCTGCACGACGGCTTCTATCCCAAAGGGCTGATCAACGTCGAGGCGCCGTCGGTTGTGCAACTCCGTGAGGTGTACGAAGAACAACAAAAACGCGTGATCTCCTCATCCGAATGAGCTTGTCTCTAGGAGTCCTAGCTCCATGCGTACACAATTTGTCAACTGCCCCCCTTGTTCTGCACCAAAGGATTGCTCTGTCTTCCCCTTCTAAGTGTGCCCACATCGTGGCCATGTCTTCCTCTACTATTTCAGTGGCTTCCTCTGCTATTCCATTGGCTTCATCTGTTTTTTGCAATGGCTTCCCGTGGCTACTCCAATGGCGCGCCAACCATCGTCAAACTCTGGATTAAGGAATAATGGGGTAGAGCAGCGTAGACCAGTAACACAGAAGTTGCTATACTACATATCGTGTAGCAATGTAGATCAATCGAGCCGAGTAGAGAACTGCAGAGTAGAGTACAGCAAATATGATAAACTGAAAAACAGGTAGAGTAGAGCAGAACAGGAACGCAGCACAGATGAATAGAGCAGTGTAGAATAGGTTGCGGTAGAGCAAGGCATACTAGAGTGGAACAGACGAGAGTAGAGCAGAGTGGAGTAAGAGTATAATACAGCAGGTCTCGGACGGAGCAGGGTAGAGCTGGACAGAGTAGTGCAGGGCAGAATAAAGCAGAGTAGGGTCGATGGTCTCATCGGGGAAAGCATAATCAAACAAGCTGGAGTGCGGAATAACAGAGTAGAGCAGAGTATAAGAGTAGCGCCGAGTACAATGGAACCGACCGCGGTCGGTTAGGGTAGCACAAATAGCGTAGCGCGACATGAATCGGATAGGGCAGGGACGGGTAGCGTAGAATAGATGTGGAACAGTGCAGAAAAGAAAAAAAGGTAAAGACGAGTCGGGTATGATAGAACTCAGTAAAAGTAAAGACTAGATTCGTCCACGGCACGATAAGAATAGGGTGGAATAGGAATGGAATACACTAGAGTAAGGTAGAACAGGTCAGGGTATAATACAGTCGGTCGAATAGAACAGACTAGAATAGGGTAGATGGAGAATATAAAAAAGTCGACTAAGGAGTAGAGGAGGGGCAAAGTGAAGTAAATTCCACCCCAGCTCAGTCAGTTCAGTCCAGTCTACTCCAGGCCACTCTGTGCCAGCCAATCAACCAATCTACTCCAGTCTACTTGGCTTCAGTCTTCTGATATCCTTGGCGTCTGCGCTGGCTCACACTGACCCCCTCTCCCGGCACGGTCAATAACGCTAAACGCAATTTCAAACATATCGTCGAAGGTATGTGAACACATGCGGGCTGGCTCACACACCTGTTACATGCAATTCTGTAGCCACTCTGTTTGAAGGGTACATGTGCCAAGGGCAAGTTCACCAATTCTAAGTCGCCACTGCACGTGCTGTGCTGGAGACGATTATGTTGAGCGCCCTGAAATGGCGAAGCACGGGCGGGCTTGTCGATGACGCCGGCTGGCAAGCGGCTGTCCTCTCCCGTGCGCAATCAGCCGGGCGAAAGTCGGGTAAAACGAAACCAGTGCAGTACGAACTCTGTTTTGGTCCAGTGGGTGGGCGAAGGGGATGAGGATCCTCTGCTCCACCCCGCAACGCGCGCGTTGCCCTTTGTGCCCACGCGCGCGTTCAAGAGCCAGGTCAAACCAAAGCTGTGGCATGCTGCGGGGCCCGGGGCTGTGGCCGAGTATGATGGGAACTCTCGGACTTCCCCACGGGGGAGCCCTGCTGCAGAGACTGATGCGCGCTGAGAAACACGGAACCCCGAGGCTTGTCGCGGCCCACCCACGGGGCACCCCATTGATGGAAACGCGATGGTGTACCGCGTCAAGCCTCGACACAGGGTGCGCGGCGCCGCCGCGACCGCGCGCGCGCCGCCTACGCCGCCGCGCCCTGGCCGCGGCGACCAGCCGCCGCAGACTCGGGGTCCTGAGGGGCAATGTTCCTCGCCATCGCTCGGACGTCCATTCCCCTTGACTTGTTCCTTTTCGTGTGTATTTTTTTCACAAGGTGGCCCGACATCCTCCTCGATGGCCCTCACTGAGCAGACCTCCGCGCGGCCGCGGGGAACCCGCGCGACCACGACGGGAGAGCCGCCCCCCTGCGCGGCCCCTGCGGAGGCCTCGGAAAAGCCTCGCCAGGGGGCCACCGCCGCCGCGTGCTGCCGGCGCGCGGCCGGCGCGCGGCCAGCGATGTGGGCGCCCGACGCCCCATAGCACGACGTCCAGCAACAAAGGTTGTCCAAAACCGATGACGGCGGCTGTTGGGCAGGCGGCCTTCTGCAAGCAATAGAACATAACATCCCCCCTCCTGAGAAGCACCCCGACACGCGAGGCCGTGTAAGAAACGCACCCACGGGAGGACTCGAACGGCGCAGGGCTGTTTAGTGTCAGCGCTCACGGGCCTCCTATAGTAAACGCCGAGTATCGGGACCACGTGGTTTTCTCTCCCTGGATAAAGGTGGACAATTTGCCATCGCCTGGACGTTCATTCCCCATGCATTGTTCGATTTTGTGCGCGGTTTTTTTCGCAAGATGACCCAGGATGCTCATGGACGGTCCCCACCGAGAAAAACGCACACGTCCGAGCGATGCCAAGACAACGCCCGCGGCGACAGCGACAGCGAGTCCTGCTCCAAAGCGATCGCGGAGTGCTGCTGGTCTTCGATCCACTTCGATCGTGCCGAACCGATTCGCGTGGGGGACACGGGTCCTGAGGGAAACTGGTCCAGCATCCTGGCGCCCTCCCCTGGGGCGGGACCTTCATCCTGAGCCGTTTTCTTTCCCTCCCGGGGCCCGTGGCATGCCCTTCATCCTGAGCCTTTTCCTTTCCGCCCCGGGGCCCGTGGAAGGCCCCGAGAGCCCGAAGACGGCGGAAAACATCAGGACCCCCATGGCGAGCCGAGGAGTTGAGCAGGGACCGACCGTCCCGGCATTCCTATAGTCCTACCACGAAATGTTCTTAGAACCCCGAAGTGTCCTGAGAACGAACATCAATTTTCTTAGAACATAAACCCGATGTGTTGAAACAAATCAATATCAACCAGACATGTTCCAAGAACACCTCGTGGAAACCACACGAGGTTCTTAGAACATCGCTTGGTAGGGCGACAGGCGAGCCAGGACGCCTCGCCACTGCTCGAAGGAGCCGCG